AAAAAAAGAAAGAAAAACTTTGCAGGGAGTTATGACAGCTATTGTTATAGTTTTATTATAATAATTTATCATTGATTTTCATTATATATTTATATGTAATAAATTATATGCACTATATTTATAAATTCTTTATTAATAATAGTGATTATTAAAATAACGAATTATCTCTCATGTAGCCTTACTAAGAATGGGAGCATAGAAAGAATTCCAGAAGCCTTTGTCTGCCGTGGAAGAAGCTTATACCCTGAAGTTGAAGAAAGTCCTATAATGGTGTACCCTACTTAGCTGCCATGAGAAATGCTCTTGATGATCCTGTCCTGATGTGCTTTGCAGATATGTTCCTGCACATAGGCCCAACCTGACAAAAAAACAAGATGCTGAAGCACAGTGAACATCTGAAGGCCACTGCCAGACTATAGCTAAAAGAAAAAGGAGATAAAAATTTTCACCTGCTAATAATTAAATTTAAATTACAAAGAAATATAGTGTTCTGTAGGATATTTTTTGGCTTTGTATTTGTTTGCTTTTTATTACTTTGGAAAAAGTATGAAGCTCTCTGGTTAATTTGGAGCAAGATAACCAAATATGGTTAATTTCAGAGCAGGAAATATCTATTAAATTTATCCCCTCTTACACCATATGGTTTTTAGATGAGTTTTAAGTAGAAAGCTATCATGAGGACAATGAAATCAAATGTAGCATATGGAAGGATAAACAATTTTAACAGGCAGAAATGACAAAGTAAAGAAAGCCATTCCTACTCAAGTTGGCACATGGATTTTCTTTCTCCAATCTCACAACCTCCCACTGCCAGAGGTTTAAAAAAACAACTTACGTTTTTATGGTTCACACACTTCATGAGGACCAGCTCCCGGTAAGCTCTCTTGGCATGCGTTTGGTTCTGAAAGGGTCTGCTGAGCTTCTTAATGGCCACATTTCTGTCAAGAACAGCATCATACGCAGCACTGCAGAGATCCAAGAGCAATCCAGAATTAGGAACAAAGAAGCCCTTAGAATTTCTGCCTACTGATATGGGTAAAGAAAATACTATTTTGGAATCCTACTCTGATACTTCCTCCTCAGGTCACATGCCAATCAGGCTGTAAATAAAGATCTAGAAGTTACTAGTATCAAACCATTCTACTTGCTAGGAAAAGCAAAAAAGAAGAGTATCTTGCCAAAAAACCTCAGCATATAATTGCCTCCTTGAGTGGGAGACAAAAGAAAAAAAGAAAAGTGCTCTACTTTCTACTGGTCCAGCCATGTGAATGTGGCAAGTCATTTAATCTCTCTGAGCTTGAATTTCTCATCTAATAATATGTGATATTTAGGTTTTCTCTAGCTATAAAACTCCATTGTTTTTTGGTTATTTTAAGTGAACATTATTCTTTCCCATTTACAGGAACCAGATTTTAAGGTATGACATTCATTGCCATGAATGTACATGTTGGTTGATGCTGAAGTGTGCACATTAACAATAACAAAGCTCAAAGTAAGGAATGCAATCAAAGGGTTTTTAGAAACATAAATAAGTGCATTTAAATACAAAGACAGAAATGAATGCTACTAACATTTGAAGCTTTCAAACTATTTGAGAGTGAAAATTAACTATGCTTTGAAAAGAAATCCATATACAGTACTGTTTCTCCCACACTCAGAATACATGGGTCTGGGGATCAAATAAGGAAGTGAGTCTCCTCTTTGCATTATACCTAATGACTCATTCACAGATTTTCTGCACCCCGTTCCCTACATCTTCAGATGGTTTTGGATTTTGTCTTAATTGCCAGGAAGGAATGCAGCAATCAGTGTCCCCTACAGTTGATCTATTGAATTGGAAGTGGCATTAACCATTCAGTGTTCATGCCACTAAACTAAAAGATCAAAAAGGGGTTACTGTGTTGTAAGATAATCATAGACTAGCAGGATAAGTTTGGACAAGGTCTTATAGTTCATCTGGTCCCTGCCTCCTTTTAATACTAATTCTTCCATTTAATACTTATTCTCCTCCAAAATACCTCCATAAAATGTTTGGCCAGTCTCTGCTTGAACATCTCCAAAAACATGATATATTACTATCGAGGCAGCTCATTATGTTGTTGAGAGTTAGAAATGTCATCATTCTAATAAGCAAAGTTGTCTCTGTGGTTTCTACTGACTTTCTCTGCCTACCAGAGTAACTCTCGAAATAAGAGTATCCACTTTTCCATTATGGTAAATGCATAATATCTGAAATCCATTAAGGGACTGAAAACAATCCTTGGCCTAATCTATAAGCAAGTACCCAATACCTCTTGGCTTTTCTTATTTTTCCCCTAAGTCTTTTCTTTCTCAAGCTAAATATCACCAGTGTCCTACCACCATTTGTCAGAATGTGATTTCAGGTCCTATCACCATCTGGTCAGTTTCCTCTGAATATGTTCCAGTCTGTTGATATCTGAAAATGTGGATCCTGAACTAAATAAACATTGCTAGTCTAGGCATGGAGTGTCACTGAAGATTAGGGTAGAGCTGTCAACTTCTTCGTTCATTCACCAGCTCCTTCACTCTGTTGACACAGTTAATACAGCTCAGTCTGTCTTGACTTCTTTGATAACAATATCACACACTATTGACTCACAGTGAGCCTATGTTAATTAAAAATACTCTCTTTTTAAAAACCTGTGCTGCTTTCAAACTCTTCATGTCAGCACTGATTCTTCTGTTCTTGTTAACCTACCAATGGCAGCACAGGTAAAGGAAAGAGTCAAAAGGACCTACATCTTTTCAGTAGTGCCCAAGAACCACAGTGAATTTGGAAACACAGGAATACAACTTGTCTTCTGAAGTTAGGAAATCAATTGAAACAGTCACCTTAAAAAGAAAGAATAAATTTTAGGCCAAAACAACTTAGCTGAAGTCATTAAATTATCTAAAGAAAGAATAGCAATCAGTCATGTGGGCCTAGAACAGAATCAAAAAGGCAAATTATGGCAATGTCTGATTGAAGAAGTGTCCTTCCATGTAGATCCAGGGATCCAGTCAGCCAGGCAGATGTTTACATCTGTATTGTGATTGGCAGAGACTGTAGACAGTTAGCATTCTGACCAGCATACCCTTATGAGGCTGATTCTATTTTCTGGGGTCAACATTCTGATCATGCTCTCCCTCAGATTTTTGCATGCAGGAATATTACCTATATTTGACCAGCTTGACTATTTATTGCATTTCTCATGATTTAGTAAATCAGCATCTGTTTTTTTTATGGAGCCTTTAGTGAAGGTTCGTCAGTGTCATTTGAGTCCCTGAGATACCGGCCAGATCCTGCAGGACAGTGGGCCAGCTTCCAACTTCATGTAGAATGGCTGAGAAAATGCCATGCTCTGGGGTTCTTGGCACGTTCTGACCTGTGTCTTCCAGAAATGTTGTGGTTTTCTCCCTCCCTCTGTTACCTCTTCCTTGAAGCTATGTTAGGTATGAATCTCAGCACTGCTGCTTCCTAGATGTGGAGCTAGGGGAAAGCCACTTACACTCTCTGGTATTAGTTTCCTCACATTTAAATGGAGATAACAGCCTGTCAAGATTATTGCAATGAGTAGAAGAGATAATAATGTATCTATAGTGCCTCATCTAGAGGAAGCACTTAATAAACAATGACTATTGCTACTTTTAAAATCAGCCTTCTTGTTGGAGTCATTGTGTAATGTGGGTCAGGGTAAAATAGAAATTCCTATGGCATGTGCTACAATTGGACATTTATCTACAAATCATCAGTTTTTAATCTTTCTACTAATTACAAATCCATTCAACTATGTCACAGTCTTGACCACATTTCCCAAGTCTGTCCCATGATATAGAATTTTAGGGCAAATGCCTTGTTAAAATCTAGATACATTATGGCCATATAGTTCTATTACTTACCACTTTAATAAGTTATCCAGTATGATTTATTTTTAATGAACCCTTATTCCCAGTGATTGCTACATCCTTTCTTAATGGCTCACAGGGTGTCTTTTCTAACCAATATTAAGACCAATATCAAGCTCAGCAGATGTCTCTTATAATCTCTTTCTTTCCTTTAAAGGAATAAGAATGTTTGCCTGTCTACACCTGAATGGAATACTGTGGTTTGGCTCACTGAATTCCATTTGCCACCCTGTATCATGTCTTCTTGGATGGAAGAGACTTGGGAGTTAAATGTACAATTCCCAGATGCTTTTGCAGCTAGTGCTCTGGACTCCAATAAGGTCCTACCATGTAGATGCAACTATGAGAGATTTGTAAGGCAAAAGTGAGGGTGGTCATCTTCTACCATTTCTTGGTTGGCAAGCAAGGTCTCATGGAGATGTGAAATTTTCTTCTGCAAGCAGTCATTCATTCTTCAAAATCTGGGGTGAGAAAAGGGATCGAAGCAAAGGCAACAGTGGATTCCAGGTACCAGGGCCCAGTCACCAGCATCATGGAGTAGTGACAACAGTAGTAACAAGCGCACAGTTTCAGCTCTATGATTCCTCAATCTCAGTTACAATCATGTATTGTAACTGGAAGCTCAGTGGTTCTAGGATACTCTCAGAGGTGGGAGGTCCCCTGGTGACTCAGCTCTCTCATGTCTGCGAGTCATTCCAAGAAGCCCAGACTAGAGGCCACTTCTCCAGGCCTTCCAATGATTTTGCAAGCACTGTATTAATCTTTGCCTACTTTAAATGTTTCTGTCTCCTGCCATGAACCCTGGATGACACTACAATCTTTCCCAATCTTCTATAATTCCTCAGTGATTATTGGCAGCAATTTAGCAAATATATCTACAAACTGGCATCAGTGGTGTGATAGAGTCACAAATTCATGTCTGAAAGTTCTCCATTACTCTTGAGTCATCTTTTTTTTAAGAGTCTTGGTTCGGAACACCTTACTTTTTTTCTTTCAGTAGTTTTTTTTTTTCTTTTATCATCATGCAGAAAAGAAGTAAATCTTTACAAAGATTTTCTAGCAACTTCCAGCAACTTCCCAGCAATTTTGCTAAAAATTTTCCACAATTTCTTGACAGAAAGTACTAACTCACTTCCACTTCTACCAGGTTTATTTATAAAAGAAAGATATAGCCTTTTGTTGTTATGCTCCTGTCATTTAATGATGTTATAAAGTTAAGATTACTTCATTGAAGTATTTATATAAACACACACACAGGGACACACACATCTCTGCAGGCAACTCTTATTCTCTACATATTTGTCAGCGTCTGTTTTTTTCCTTCTGGCAATTGCAGACAACCTCTTGCACAAATATTCTTAAGTAATCATTCATTTAATAATCTTTCTTGTTTCTTTTCCCTTTCACATTTAAAATATTCTTGATCATATTAACACGTTTATGGGCCAAAAGAACAATTTAAAAAATCTCTAGGCCTTATGAGAACTTTATGTATTAAAAAATATAAATAAAAATTTAAATACTTCAAAAACCTTATCATTGCAGGGTCTTAAATGTCTTAAGCGATAGCCCAGCAGGCCAGATTCCATCCTGGGATAAACGTTGCACCCTTCATCGTTTATTTTCTCTTTCCCACATTCTCATTTGACCTTTTCCAAAAGCCTGGACTTTAGTAGAAAGCTACCAAAAAAAAATTCTTCCCAATGCCTTCAAATATCTCACTTTCGTGCCCAAACATTACAGTCCCTAGAGATGCTATGGACACACTGATTCCACCATGGAGAACAGTGTTGGGGAACCTGCCAAACTCATCCCCGCCTCAGGACTTTTGCAATCATTCCTCCTTCTGCCAGGAAGGCTCTTCCCACATCCTCACCTGATTCCATCTTGTGATTCAGGATTCAGCCCAAATATCATCTCCTCAGTAGAAGCCTTCCTTAATCACCCCATCAAAAGTCAACAGTTGATTTTTTTGATTAGTTGCTTTTGTTATTGAATTGCTTAGCTGTAATAGTTTGCTTAAATTTTGTCAGGGAAGCTTTTGACTACAAGCAATAGA